TCTTGCAATAATCATTTCTTTTACAAATAAAAAGATCTGAAAGAACTGGCATTTGTAACAAGCCCATTGATTCCCCTCCATCCTAGGACCACATTTCAGACACCTATGATCTGTTGCCTGGGTTGTTTGAGATATCTTCCTAAAATCTTACCGGCCACCACATGCACATGCTACAACCTGTTGTCAGCCAAGTGGTGTGGTCAGTAATCTTCCCGTATCAGAACATGATATTCATTCTCTTCTAGTGAATCCCTGTTGCGCTCTGAATAGGACAAACAATTCCTTTGTAAATCAACAAGTCACACAAAATCTGGATCATACATATTTCTCTTTTTTAAAAAAATTTATTTATTTATTTTGAGAAAGAGAGAAAGTATGAGTAGGGGAGGGAAGAGAGAGAGGGAAAGAGAGAGAATCCCAAGCAGGCTCTGCACTGTCAGCACAGAGCCTAATATAGGTCTTGAACCCATGAACTGTGAGATCATGACATGAGCTGAAGTAGGACACTCAACTGACTGAGCCACTCAGGCGCCCCTGGCTAACACATATTTGTAAAGGAGTATTTCTCCGAATTTCCTCAAAACACTTCTGTCCAAACACCGGCCTTAGGGAAATATTTATATTTTCTGTGCCCTGGGAACTTTACATATCCTATTTTTCTATGGGGAGCCACTGTCCCTTCTCTCTTAATTCCTACCATCGTTTCAAGTTTTGAATTCAATACTGCTTCCTCAAAAAAGTGTTTTCTTACTTCAGACCTTGGATTAGACCAATTTATTATGGGTACTACTACAGTATCTTCGATTTCCTCTAAAGCCTTTATTAAATAGCAATTATGTACCAGGTCTCGTGTTCCAGGAGCTTGGAATATATTAGTGGACAAACAACAAGGAAATCCCTGCCCCCCTGGCACTTATTTTCAAGTTGGGGCAGACAGACAATGGACAATGTAATGAACATATTAATTATAAAAGCAGTATACTAGAAGGTAATAGTGACAAAAACTAGAGCAGGGAAAGCTAGCAATGGACATACCCTGATAGATGGAGAGATTGCAATTTTACTTATTTATTTCTAAAATGTTTATTTATTTATTTTTGAGACAGAGAGGGAGATGAGTAGGGGAGGGGCAGAGAGAGAGAATCCCAAGCAGTTTCCATGCTCAAAACGGAGCCTGATGTGGTGCTCTATCCTCATGACTGTGAGATCATGACCTGAGCAGGAATTAAGAGTCTGACGCTTAACTGACTGAGCCACCGAGGTGCCCCGAGATTGCAATTTTAAATAGAGAGCCTTTCACTGCCTTTCTTGAGAAGATAGCATTTGAACAAAGATCTAAAGGGTGACATAGGCTCAGCTATGCAGATATTAAGGGGAGAATAGTCCAGAAGAGGAAATAGCCAGAGCAAAGACCCTTAGTGGAAAAGTGCCTTCTGTGCTTAAGAAACACCCAAAAGGCTAATGTAGCTGAAGCTGAATGAGCAAGGGGGAGAATGCCAAGAGATGAGTCACTTGTGATTTGGAGACAGAGTATTTAGGGCCTCAAAGAGATAACTTTGGCTTTTACCCCATGTGAAACAGAGGGCCATTAGAGGGACTTAGAGCAGAACAGCGACATAATATAATTTATGTTTTAAAAGGACCACAAACATGGAAGATAAGAGCAAGAGTGGAATCAGGAAATCCGGTCTAGGACACCATTGCAATAATCTTCACAGAGAGGTGATGGTGGTTGGATTTAGGGTGTTTGCAGAAGAAGGGGTAAGAAGTACAGCAAAGCCGATAGATTTCCTGATGTATTGGATATGGACTGCGGTGGCGGGGTGGGGAGTCAAGGCCATTTCCAAATGTTTGGTCAAGTGACAACTGAAAACATGCAGTTGCCATCAACTGAAGTAGAAAGATTATGTGATGAATAGTTTGCAGAGGTTGAAGAGGGAGCAGCAGTGGGAAATCAAAAGTTTAGTTTAGAATATATTGACTTTCAGATGTCAATAAGTCAATATCCAACTCTGATATAAGGCAATTGCTGGTTTCTAGTCTGAGACTATAAATGCCCTGAAGACTAGAATTTTGTCATTTCTCTGACACCTAGAGCAGGGTCACCTGGCAGAGTAAAACTCAATAAATATGTATGGAATGGATAAATGAATTGATACATGAAAAAATGGATGAGTGAATGTTGCCTGAAATTAGTGAATTGGTGAGTCAGATTTAAAATCTCAGTGATCTAAAATCTCTAGAGTGATTTTTGTACAGAATATAAGAAGAAATTTAACATTTGTAATTTATATTTCATGGTTATTGAAATATGTTAATATTGAATTATATTTTACTTTTTATTCATCAAATAGAAATGATGTTAATTGAGAAGCTATGGAAGCTTCATTAACTTTTGAAGAAGACTAAAACTTTAAAACAATTATTTACTTAACACTCTTATAATTTGAAATAATTTATATTATTTCCAAAGCCTAGCCATGGTGAGAATTTTATGTAATGAATCACATTTTCACAGATTTGTATGCCTATAACATAAATTTTTATTGTAGTAATAATAAAACATGATTTAAATTATTAGGCAATGGAGTGATGGGCATTGAGGGTGGCACATGTTAGGATGAGCACTGGGTGTTGTATGGAAATCAATCTGGTAATAAATTATACTAAAAAGAAAAGAAAAAGGAAAAAAAAATGATCAGGCAAGGTACCTGGTACAGTCAATGACCCAAAGACAACATAAAAAGAAATAATCTCATTAGGAAATATTCTGGCTCTCCTTCCTTAAACAGATCATGTATTGAAAATATCCTACTTGTTTATATTAGAAAATGCTATATCATTCCCTATGTAGTCTTTCTTCCTTTCTTCTGCTCTTGGAAGCAGAAAAAATCATGAAGGCCCTGTCCCTTATTCCCTATCTTTTACATCTGTTGACAGGTGAAGAGGCTTATCTCTTGTCAACTCCCACAAAATGTCCCTCTCCCACCCATCCAAATATTTTAAATTCTTATAGTGGAAAAACAGAGACACAAAGAAACACAGAAGTACAGTTTCCTGACTCAGTCATGCCCTGTGTCGCTTTGAGTCTGTGTACTGGTTCCTTCCCTAGCACCTCCCATGCTTTTTCTCCTGCTGAACCCCATGGACACCCCTGCTCAGATGCTCCATCTTCAGAGAGCCCTCCCTTAGCATCCCTTCACCCATAATGTACTAATCGTATGCAGGGATATGGCATATTTTATATGCATCATCCTCTATCATATTTGCTTATTGCCATATTAGTCTCCTTCATGAGATTGCAGATTATCAAAGATAAGCGTCTTTTTTTTTTTTAGTTCAGTGTCTGGTGCTTCAGAAAATGAGCAATATGTCTGTGTTGAGATGAACTCCTACCCAAAGCCATTTTGTATGCACAGATTAATTTTTATCAAGCTTCAAAGGCCATAAAAAATATGTCCCCTATGGAAGCCTATGTGTCCAAAGCTGTGCTGTCTTTGTAAATGTTGTTGAATCTTTAACTAGGGTCAAACACTGCATCAGAGCCTACATTTTTTTAGCTTATAGCCCTATGTATGCTCTTTGCACACTGAAGGGCCCTCACGATCTCTCAGAACTTGGCAGAAGTAGCTGAAAGAAAAGCACTAGAGAGGGAAACACTACAGCAGGAAGGGAGCAAGCTTCCAACAGAGCAAAATCTGGAGCTAGGATCTGGCAAAACTGTTAACAGAATGCATTGCCAAAGATCTCTCATGCCCAAATTTGCCTTGCATTTTGATGCGTGACCCATGACTTTCCATAATGATAGGACGTCCATGGCACAATAATCATCTCACTTTGCTTTCATCCTCCTCACAGTAGGCGGCAGCGGAGGAACATGATAACTAACAATATTCCAAAGGAGCATGTTACTTATTTTTGCAGATGAATGCCACATGCAATGTTCATCAGACAGCTAAAAGGGCACCATCTTGAAATGGATGTAAGCCTGCAATTCCACAGAACCAGGTTCAGCAGTCAGACCTTTACTCAGCACAGGTGGATATGTACCATGACATCAATGAAAAGACTAGGTGTCCATTTTCCTTCTCATCAGCCTTGCTACATGAAGGTACGCACACAGGCCCACAAGATTAGTACAAACAGTGTAAATGTGGAGTATCAGTCAAGGTCACAAAACAAGAAGCCACTTAGTTTTGAGAAAAATTTCTGGGTTATTCTTTAACATTCTATGAGATGCTTTCTGGAATTAGGTTAAAATTAACAGGATCCATTTATATACCCCAAAGTAGAGAACTTCAATCCTTACCTAGGACAAATTTCACAGCCAAACCCAAATTTAAAGCCAAACATTCATATCTGTTTTCTTTCTATGTGCAGAAACAACACCTCTGATGTATAAACATAGCTCTGAGAGCAAATGAAACAACACTGTTCCTGACTAATTGATATGCAATCTGCTTAATAATACACAAATCAGCAAACAAAATCACTATGCCTTTGAAATGCTTTGCCTTATGCTCTCATGCTCTTAATTTTCATAAAATCTAGTTTCATAAAGAATGTGATCATCTAATTCCACTCACTCTTTGATCCACTGTTGTCTCTGCTCTCAATAAGGTGACCAACAGAAGGAAAAAATAAAAAACTTCCTATCAACAGCAGAAACATTTAATATTTGGAGGTAAATATATGTATGCAGGTGGACGCATAATGAAATACATTGAATAAACAAGTGAAGTCTCCATGGGGAGAATAAAAGGGCAGTGCTCGTATCAGAACAGTGCATTGCATTTAGAATTCAAAGATTCTCTGTTTGATTGCATAAAGCACTGTATTTTTTTAAAATACTAGAGCACATTGAGATTTTTATCTTCCTAGAGTGTTGCAAGGAACAGGCTACTTGTAGCAGTTAGATATAGGTAGCTATAGATACAGATGTAGATATATAAATATATAGACACAGATGCAGATGTACATACTGGCAGGTAGATACATACCTTAATTGTAGTCGTGTGTGCTCCAGGGTATTCTTTTTCTTCCAGCGTTGACCATCTTTCTATAAATTTGGATACCAGGGAATCATCATAGTCCACTATCTGAAATCCAGAGACGTTTGCACCTCCAAACTGAATTTTTAATAGGTCTCCATCAGTAAAGCCCTAGACATAGAACACATTTATGTCAGGCTTTCCATTAGGAATCAAAGAGAACATTTACAAAATAACCTATACATTGTGGTTTTACAAATGTCAAAGAGCACAGGAGAGATCAAAAGCTTATAGGAAATGCTTCATGCATTTATCAGCCAGTACTCTGCACCAGTATCTACTATAATCTTGGAATCATAGTAGAACCCTAGTCAATGAATGTTTATTGGTTGCACTTGCATAAAAGTTCTCCATTTTGTTGAGAAATCTTCCATGGATAAGAACTGGTTTTATTTATCAAATCTACAGTTCCATTTAAGCTGCTTTGATTCAAAACAACCAATTTCAATAAATTTATTTTAATATATTTATCTTCATATTTCTGTATGACAAGTTTTCTTTTTAAAAAAATTTTTAATGCTTATTTATTTATGAGAGAGAGAGAGAGACAAAGTACGAGTGGCGGAGGGGCAGAAAGAGTGAGACACACAGAATCCAAAGCAGGCTCCAGGTTCTGAGCTGTGCCCGCAAACCATGAGATCATGACCCGAACTGAAGTCAGATGCTTAACTGAGTCACCCAGGCACCCCAACATATGCTTTCTTAATTTATCCATTTTAGATATTTTTTATTGAGTGTTTGCTGATGTCAGGTGAGTATGCAGTTCATTCACATTTACCTCCTCACCCATTTTCATGTTCATGGTTTTCATATTTGCAATTCTGTTATTCAGAGCAAAACTAAATAATGTGATAGGGCTGCATTTTCCTTCTTGAAAAGTATTTCATTCTCACGTTAATGATTGCTTTATTTTTCACCACCATAGTTTTCTTATACCTATCTTTGGTTTTTTTCCGGTTACTCCACAAGAACTTTTCATGTTTTCTTTTTTAAAATAACATTTTCAAAAGAATCAAATAATCTGTTTTTTTTTTTCCTGAATACTTAATTTACAGGAGAACTTCTTAAATACTATGATCTGAATTGGTTCCTCTTTCCAGGTTTTCCACAATATTACCCTAAAGTGTCCCTTCACCATGTTTCTGACTAGTTCTGAATCTGGCTGCCTTGATTACTATTCTTTTATGTTTTATTCCCTTCTTCCAGAGCCCTCAATAGTTTCCTGAGACATATTGGAGGTCAATTTTTGGAAACACCGAATGTCTCAAAATATCTTTGTTTTGCTCTGACACTTGATTAGTAATTTGGCTAGGTACAGAATTTTAAGTTCAAACTCTCGTAATCTGAGAACATTGTTCCTCTGACTTTTATTGTTTCTATAGAAAAATATAATGTCATTATTTCTACTTATTTTTTGTAAGTGACCTGCTTTGTACCCCTCTACCTCTACTTCCCACCTGTCCGAAATCTTTAAGATCTATCTTTCCCTGAAATTTCATGATGATACCTTGTTAGAAATATGAAAGAAGTCTTGTTTTGTTCATTTTTTTCTGTACTCAATGGGCACATTTGTGTCATCCAGTACTGGGAATTTTTCTGAATGCTCTTTGACAATTTCTTACCTCTCTTTTTCCCTACTCTATCTTTCCAGAATGCCTATTATTAACACATTATAGCTTTTAGATTTAATGTCTAAGTCCCTTTACAGGTTCCCCTGCACTTCATTATGGTATTGTCATTTTGTTACGTAATCGGGAAGATTATTCTTAACCTTATCTTCACAGTCACATAATTTTACTTGTTATTTTAGAAAAAAAAAAAGTTAGCATACCATAACTCTTTCTTATTCTCTGAGGGTTTTTTTTTTTTTCATAACATACTCTTTCTCTTCTTTTTGGATAATATATATTTTCTTATTTCTCTACAGATATCCATTACAACTTTCAACACTTGTGTTTTCTGCCTGCCTTTTTTTGTTTATTTTATTTATTTATCCATTTATTTTCTTATTTGTCTGTTTGGTATTACATCCTTCATGCCCAGATGATGCTCAAATGCCTATTTCTGTTTGGTTATTTAAGAGTAAGACACACAAAAAATTATTGGAATTTCCATATTCATGGAGGAGGCTCCCTGATGAATGTGCTTCATTGTAAGGTAGGCAGTCGGGGAGGGATGGGTGGGTGACAATACTTTTTGTCCATATCTGTGGGTTGAGGAAATGAGAACTAGATCCCTTTATGACCACTCGTCATCACATTATGTACAGATCATCCTCTTAAGTGCTGTATCAAGAACTTAATCACAATCTGTGTCGTGGGAGCCTAATCAAGCATTCAACAATTCCTGAGGAATTTAATCAATAGTGGTATCTGAGGGCTCTACTATCTTTTGTAACTACCACTTTTAACACTCATCACACACTGATAGGGAAAAGGAGACATTTCCAATCAAGAATTCTGAAGATGAAAGCACTTCCACTCTGAATGGCATTCTTCAATTTGGAAATGTCAGTGAAATTTTCAAATGTCTACTCAATTCTCAGAAACCACAGCTTTCCTCAGATTCTTTGAACTTATGAATTCACTAGTTGTTACACATGGTGAAGATACCAAGTATTCAGAAAAGGAGGCACAAAATTAGAATTCAGACAAAGTATTAGGTACTTTTCTCCCTAAAAGTATGACAGCAGCATAAACTTGTTTTTGATTTTTTTTAAATCTTTTTACTTTGGTCATTCCTATATTACTTTCTTTTTTCATAGCATCAGATATCAACTCTCAAATTGATGAGCCACCTTCTGTCATAATTTCTCAGTGTTCCAATATAATCTTCTCCATCTGGACATTTTTAAAGATCACGGCTTTCAATGTGGCTCTGTGTTGTTCATCAAATGGCACAATTCACACAGGGGACTAACTGTCCAGGCTGTTCCCTGCACACAATGTGGTTCTAAAGAGAGTGAATACAGAGTTTCATCTATTTTAACCCTTGCTGCTCTGGTGGGAATTCATTTGGGATCTGTAATAGCATATTAATGGGTAAGTTCTGATGAATTTTATTGTAGTTGGCCATTTCATGGGCAAACAAAATTTTTATCTCAACAACCAGCTTCTAGCAACAGCATATAAGTTTGAGATTTAACATTTTGAAATCACTAGGGCCACCTTCTAGTGAAAACAGTATTTCTCAGTTGTGAGGTGTTTTTTCCCTCCCATTGTTATTAGAAATAATGTTTTCTGATATAATAATCTGATATTTCAGAAACCATGAAACAAATCTATGTTTGTGCAGATATGAAAACTTTTCAGAGCCCTATTACGCTATTTAGAATAAGCTCTTATTTTTTCCCTCCTTTCCTCACTATTTTCCAGAGGTTGGGGGAGATGGTATTCTCAATCAAGTAAGATCATACTTCTGTAAAGAACACAAACATTTGCAATGATAAAGGCTTAAGCTCATTTTACTGCTGATCTAAAACCTATTTGAAAAAAAAATGTCTAAAGATAATTCTAAATTGGCTCTGATTATATTTAAGAAAGGGAGATACAATTAACTACTTGGATATTCAGTATTATCATAATTTGACAGAAATCCCAATGAAAATGGGAATTCCATTTCATTGTGTTGCTTATACAGTAAACAGATAATCAGAAATAAATAATATATAATATATTAATGTTCTTGACATTTCCAGCTTTAATTTTTCACTGAGGTATTCTCACGAATGTGTATTTATTTCAAATATTATATATACTAAAAAGTTTAAAGGAATGAACAAAAGGAAAATAATGTATAAAACACAGTGACAATGAAAAACAAGAGGAGATTTAAATAATTAAGCTTTAAATATTTTAAAAAACTTTTCCATAGCTAAATATGCTTAAGACAATTTATAAACTTGTCAAATATTGTTCTCTAATTTCTTACAGAATTTATAATAAGAAATTTATTAGAAAATATAAAGTAGGGAATAAATCTAAAGCATAACAAATTCAGAAAAATATTGTCACTTCTAATTGATCAATATAAACAAAATGTTTTTAAAAATAACACTGATAAATGTTGATCATTCACAACTATTTTATAATTAATAAACATCTTTATTAAAATAATAAATATCAGTTAATTCACTTACCAGATTTGCAATGATATAATGGTAACCTTTAACATGTTTTCCAATGGTAATAACCTAACAACAAAAAAAGAAACCATTATTTAATAAATGCAAATAATATAAATGCAAAATTATTGGTACTTCGATCTAAATGAGAAAAATAATGGAATTTTATCTACTATGTTTTCTGATATTCTATGATGAGTCATATTTGACTAGATATAATTATCACGTCCAGAGACTATTTTTCTCGGAAAATGGTAACAATACATTTGAGTGCTTTATCAATGGTATCTTTCAAGAAGTCAATAACTAAACAAATGTAATTACCTCAGTTTTGACAACAGTGAAAATAAGATCACAGATCTTAAGAAATATAAAACTAAAAACATGTATGAATCCATAATAGGTTATAATTTTATTTCTATAAAATCTATTTTTTCATTAAACCCTTCAATAGCTGAAACCAACATATGAGATTTTATATTCACACACTGACACTCAAATTTATAGTAGTACATAAATTTAAAAAATATTAAGAAGTAAATAAAATATTTGTAAATACAGGGGCGCCTGGGTGGCTTAGTCGGTTAAGCGTCCGACTTTCACTTAGGTCATGATCTCGCGGTTCGTGGGTTCGAGCCCCGCGTCGGGCTCTGTGCTGACTGCCAGCTCAGAGCCTGGAGCCTATTTCAGAGTCTGTGTCTCCCTCTTTCTCTGACCCTCCCCTGCTCACGCTGTCTCTCTCTCTCCTAGAAATAAATTAAAATATTAAAATAAAATATTTGTAAATACAAAAGTATTTATATACAGAAGTAAATAAAATTTTGGATATACAAAATAATGTTCCTATCTTAAGAATCTTGAAATGCTTATAATTTAGTTCCAATGAACATTATTATTTCCAGCTTGAGGCATCAAAGTATCAGAGAAGCTAATATTTCTCTACAAATCTAAGTCAAAAATCAATGGTGAGATAAACACATCATGGACAAGTGGTCATTTTGGTAATGCTCACGACAGTTTGGGACATTACCGAATCAATGTGACTTTTCACTGATCTATATCAATTAAAGAGAGTAGAATCTGGTAAAATGGCCATGCTGTAGTCCTAGTATTTAGATATACAAATGTAAATTTTATTTTTAAGAAAACTGTCACATCAATGGAAAGCATGAACTACCTGGGCTTCAAACCATGAGCTTATTTGCCTGATTAAACAGTTTTGGTGACTTCCCATTGCTTCCAGCATTAAGAGACCAAAACCTTAATTCATCCTGCAAAGACCAGTGATCTTGCAAGCTTCTCGAGGCTTCTACCACCCTTTATACTGGAGCCTCTTTGGCCCTCTTTTTAAGTATTTTTGTGCACAAAGGACGTCTTGCCATCACCTCAGGGCTTTATATATTCTCTTTCCTCTGCTTGGAAAGCTCTTACTGCTACCATATCATTTGTCTTATTAATGCCACAAACACAAGGAATCTCAGCCCAATGTTACTTCCTGGGAGTAGACTTCTCTGACCTTTTCTTATCCCAGAAAAAGTCAGGTGCTCCAAAGCAATTTATTTATTTAAAGACCAAGGGCAAATCCTAGGAAGGATTCCACCAAATGCCCCTTTGAGGTTACATGATAGCTATTTGGAAGGGAGCTAGGGCTTGTGTTATTTTTTAACCTCTTTTTAGGTAAACTAAATCGCCTTTTCCACTGAACCCTCTGTATTGAAAGAAAGGACGTCCTTCTGGATGAAAAATATATTAATTAGTGTCACTTGAATTGAGTTATATCCCTCAATTTCCTACTGACATCTGTTGATTCTTGTTACTGTTCATTCTACTTTTTGACTCCTGCATGTCTTTCTTTTGGGAACAAACAAAACAAAACAAAATACTGTATAAATGGTGCTACCAGTAGCCCTTACTTGAGTTCAGTGTTCACTGAGAAAAAGGGGGAGGGGATAAAAATTTACTAATCCTACCTCTACATAGGAATTAGTGCTGGCCATACTAACTCACAATTTTGCTTTACAATAATCATTAGCATTACACTAATAATAGCAAGTTTATATTGATTTCTTAATGTTTTTTGATGGATGAGTTCTTTTCCCACCTAATCACAATTAGAAATAAGTAACTCCATGGTTTTATTGAATGATAAAACACTCATAACCAACAAAGTGATTCTCTTTCTAACTTTAAACCATTATGAAATAAAGGTTCATCACCTCTGTTCTCTTATAAGTATTGGTAGAGTGAATAAGTAGTGTTTCCTTTTCCAGAAATGGACTTCAACCTCACTTTTCACTTGGTAAACTGTCTTCCTGGAAGGCATTCCATGATCTCCTAATCTAAATTTTTTCTGTAGTTCTTTTCATAACATCCTGTTCTTTTCATCTATCATATATACCATTAGTATAATTATACATTAATTTTTGTAAATATATCATAAATATTCACTTTAATAGGGTTTTGCTTGTTTTGTTTAACATTACTTTCTTGTATCTACACAGTGCCTGTCTGGCGAACATTAGACACCCAAGGAAATGTATTGAATGAATAAATGAATGAACCCAAGCCAGACAAATGCTGCCAGTATGTGTGTGAACCCTTCACCGATCCTCCTACCACAGTTAAGAGAGGTTTTCTCTTCCATACTCTTAGGCCACATTGTTGTATAAACTGTAATACTCTAGTATGACAAGTAAAATTTGTCTTCACCTCTAAACAATAAGTCCATGGGGTACAGATACCACTCTTTCTTTTTTTTTTCTTTTAGTTTATTAATTTTGAGAAAGAGAGAGAATGGGGATTGGGGCAGAGAGAGAGAGGGAGAGAAAGAATCCCAAGCGGGCTCCACACTGCCAGCTCAAAGTCTGATGTGGAACTTGATCCCACAAACTATGAGATCATGATCTGAGCCGAAGTCAAATGCTTAGCCTACTGAGCCACTCAGGTGTCCCAGGATACCACTCTTTCTTCCTTCTTTGCATCCCTCATTCTAGACATATAGATAAATGTTTGCTAATAATGCAATCAACCACTGTACATACTCATTTATATATCCAAAAGTGTCTTATAAAAATCAAATAACATAGATGTGCAAAATCTCTGTACATCTTGAATGGACGTCCATATAGATATTTATTTAATCATCATATATTTGTTTCAAAACATTACATTCTATATGTTCCCAATTTCTCTTGCAGTTTCTTTCTTCTAGTTTTGGAAAGAATTGTTTTCAAAAAGGCTTTCAACAACATTTATTATGATGAGTCATGAATACATAAATTCTTTAAACAAAAGACTAATGACTATTATTAAAATTCAGTATTAATGAGAATCTCCTATGAAATTCAAATGAGTTGTTGAGGTTCACATTTGAACAAGAGGCCTTCAGGTTAAAAACAACCCTAACTTCATCTCCTGAGACAGGAATCAAGAGTTTTCTACTGAAATGTTCACCTCTCTGGCATATAACATTTAGCCCTTTCTCATAACAAGTTTTATCCAGTTATTTAATATTTTATGTGAAAACCACTTTGTCTCAGGGCCTGTGTTATTACATATCAATTAAGATTTCATCAACATTTATGTTTGCAAAATGCTTTGTGTTATACAAATTAGTGAATCTAATTGTCTCCTCAAAGACTGGAAGGGCCAAGAAATGCACACTTAACTGCATACTTTTCTCCTAATCCTATATTATCCTTAGCAGCTACTACATACACACACACACACACACACACACACACACACACATACATACACACAAGCTGGGAAAAGAAGCAGATACCCAGTGAAGCAAACCTTAACTTAGTAAATCATGATGCTGCTTCACCAACATTCCTGGTCACTTACCCTCTCTATACGATACAATGGATATTATTTTTATCAGTAGGATATTACTGCCTGGCTGCCCTTTCCCAAGAAACCTTAAATGGAATCATGGCAGTGTGGTAAGCACAGATAAAACATCCTATGTCCAATAAACTTCTCAGACAGCAAACACAGACTGAATATGACTCTCCTACATATTTTAATTTCATAGATTAATAGTTTTATAGTGATATAAAATCTGCCTACTAGGAAGAAAAAATAATTCTTGGAAAAATATATACACGTTTGTTCTGAAGACAAAGAGCCATCCAGACAATAGAGACTTAATGTCCCATACTACACCCTAATGTTTGAAGTACTCCGTGTTTTGCCAAAGAATTCATGTAGCTCAATTTCACTTAATGTGGCTACTTCTTTATTTCTACAAAGTTCAACAAGTTAAATTTTAAATTTCCAACTAAAAATATCAAAGTTTAAGGCAATGCTTATCATATAAAGTCAGGAATTACATATTGAATATATGTAATGATTAGAAGTGTCAGCGTTATTGAAGACCATCTGTTATTGCTAACTGAAGCCGGAGATAATTTAATTGATGATCTGTGCTGCATCCTACATAAACCATAAAGCAAAAACTGCTGTTCAAGCACCTCACACAAAGACTCATTGTAAATGCTGACATTGCATGCATATTCTATATTTGGTGCCATTAGAAAACAGAGAATAGCTAACCTGGTCTACAATGTCGTTTACTTTATCCCGTTCACAGTCCAGGATGACACGTCGCTCCTTTTTTAACTCCAGATCTTGAAAAAGCGATCGGTAGGTCTCATCTTTCTTGTCATTGTTAATGTTTCCCACATTGATAGCAGTCACTTGCCATTTCTTTTCAGCAGCGGAGTCCAGCACTGCCTGCAGCGTTGATAAGCCTAGGAAGGCAAAGAAAAATGATGACTGCTAAAGCAACTTCAATAACTCAGAATTATGTTGTGAAATCGACGGCGAATACATTTTTAAGGCTGATATTTTCGTGCAGCCGAGGGGATGTTGACTCCTCTAAACAGCTCCAGCTACGATCTTTATCAACATCGACTTATTTCCACTTCACATCAGAAACCCTTTTATCTAAATACTATTGTTTTGATGGAAAGAGCCAAGAGTTTGGGGAGAAAATAGTCTCCCCTTCTATCAGCTCTCTCAGCTGTCTTCTAGTCTCCCCTTCTATCAGCTCTCTCAGCTGTCTTCTTTCGGATACTACTTAAGAGTAATGTCTGTGATATCTTTGGTTAAAGTGAAATACAAAGACAGTGCACACATTTCTTTCTCTTACAGAATGGAAGACTGTTCTATTACATACGAGTAAAAGAGTAACATCCTTGAGGAGGTCGCGAACACTTGCAGGGAGCGAACACTTTCAGGGAGAAAATCTACATGAGACTCTGTGAGTGTAAGAACCAGTAACCTCGAGAAGTCTGTTATACCCCCTCCTATCATCTTCCAGTCAGCAGTTGCTTCTCCTCAGCCTCTGTTATATCATTTTCTTTGTTATTCGGGCTGATCCATGGGGATTAAAATGTTCACCTATGAACCAGATGGTAGCAGTTAGTTTTCTAGCATAGACTCGTTACATTTACTTGATTTCCCAACTTGGGGGACCAGTTTTGTATTTAGTAGTGACTTTACTTATTGCATCATATGACTTAGAAAATGTTATTTCTATTTCCAATTGTTCATACATTACCTCAATTTGTGAATTTGTTGCCTAAAGTTAAATCTGGAAGGGCAGTACATAAACTTGTTTTTCACATCACTTCAGCTCTTCACGGCCAACCTAAATTCATGATTTCTATTACTAGTTTAATGAACCACACAAAATCTGATCTCCAAAAAGAATTCAGAACTTATCACATCATCTTCCTGATTCCAGAAAGATCTGCAACTTTCTCAGAAGAATGCTGTTTCCTTCCTTTTAACCCATAAAATGTGAGATTTACCTAATGTGCTCTATAAATTCTATTCATGTACTAAACCTTAATTAAGTCTATTTACTATGGCAAAAATATTTGCATTCTAAATGTTAAAAACTATAGGGGCACGTGGGTGTTTCAGTTGGTTAAGCATCCAGTCCCACATTGGGCTCACTGCTGTCGGTGAAGAGCCCACTTCAGATCCTCTGTCTTTCTCTTTCTCTGCCCCTCGCCCACTCACGTGCTCTCTCATTCACTCTCAATCTCTGTCTCTCAACAATAAACATAAAAAATATTTTTATAAAAATTAAAAAAAACAAAAAATATTAAATGTTAAACTATAGAACCTGGAAAACATCATTAAAAATCTCATTAACTAAACACCAGCCAAGTATACCTAAGATTAGCAAGAACACCTTGTGATACAGAAGGGAATATTTGGAAGGAAGTGCTCCAAAACTATCAGCACTGGGTCAGAGAACTCAGGAGCCAATGTCACAAAGATCACTTTAAGTGATTTGGGTTTCAATAAGGATAACAATGGCAAGACTTTTAAATACATAAAATATTTTAAATCCATGAATTTTTAATGATATGTAAACATCTAAACTACCAAAACTGAACCAAGAAGAAATAGAAAACTTGAACAGACTGATGACCAGCAAAGAAATTGAATCAGTGATATTTAAATATATGTATAAGTATCTGGTTGCCTTTGAGGGACACTAAGAGCTGAGTTATTATTCTGAAATTTGTAAATAAAGTAAGAGAAACACACATTTTTTTTGCCCTTCCTATATGAACTATATTCAGGATAAAAATTAATTAAGACAGGTTTTCCTTTTTGGAAAGACTCCAGCTAATAAATGATGAAGGTATACAGGTTTAGAATTATGACCATCTTGTAACACCAAGTGAATTAGTGAATCAAGGTTACAGTCATTAACTGCTGCCAACAAACAAAAAGAGATGAACAGAAGTTACATGTCTCTAAATAGGAATATTTAAACCATCTGTGGAGTATTCCTGCCAAAAAAGTGAACATGAGTCTTAACAAGTATCTAGACCTAGCTAGCAATCTATAAGGAATAGATATCCGAGTAATACACTGAATATCATAGTGTTGCAAACATCAAATTGAAACTCTACATTATGTTATAAACCACTTAAGAGATATATTAAACAGAGGGGGAGAGGGCAAGACGGCGGAGAAGTAAGGAGCTCCGTACTTGCACTCGCGCCCATACATCACACAGAAAAGATCCGAAGACATTGGAAACCTTACAAAACCTGAGAGATTGGGAGAAAAAAGACGCAGAATCCACTGAGAGAGCCTTCTAACGTGAGTG